CGTTCTTATTCGGACGTAGAGGAAACGTAACGATTGCAATTTTTCTTCGGCACGCGTTTAAAAAGAGGAGAGGAGAAGAGAGGAGAGTCGATGGCGTCAAGAAGGGTGGCAGTGTTATCGGCACGCGAGTTTAAACCCGGCCTAGCACTTTCGATGTTTCTTCGTGTTCCACGGTAGTTTGCCCCATAAGGTGAAAGCGAACGACCTTCTCGACTCGAAAGTAAAGTCCATCGATCAAGCGATGAACCGAAGGAAACACGCTAGCGTACTCGCTATCAACAGCCGACGTCAGCGGCGCACAACCGCCGATTATTCCAGGCCGAGACTCACGGTCACCAACGGCTAGCGTGTTACTAGCTAGTAGCTGGTTGCGATACAACCAACCAGAATTATGTTACTATGCCAAGGCCCAACCTTGTCGCGACATGGCCACCGATGAATACTGTATGAGACTTTATTACTTCCACTGCTAGACCAGACTATTTGCCTCTTTCATTCGCCTACCTTTTCCTTCGCCTGTGTTCCTTTCACCAGCCACCCTTCGTCGCGTCGACTTTCGTCGAAAGTAAGAGTAACAGCCCTGCCCTACCTTCCCCTATTTCGTTTTCCTTTCTTTCCCGATGGCGTGACTCTTTCGCGCCACGCCATTCCCACCCAGGGACATTAACAACGACAATTTACCCTCGTTGAAGTTCGCCAAAGGAAGTCGAATATTTGCCGCGTTTACTTCAACAACGATCGCGTATTGCGTTTATTAAGACGAAAACGTCGCCTCGCGAAACTGATCGATCCACCCGCAACCGTATCCTTCGCGTTAATATTTCAACCGAGGAACGAGAAAAAGGAGAGTCCGCGTTACGTATAATCCAATTTTCCACCCCCTATCAATTCGTACGTTCCAATTTGCGATTTGTTTTTAATCAAACTCGCAAGTAAAATTGTCGCGACACTTTTGAAGTAGCCGAGAATATTTATTAAAATTCCCGGGACGTTTTAATAAATTCTATCGCGACACGCCGACTGTATTCTTCCCTTTTTTCATCAACGACGCCAGCAGCGACGTGAAAATACCGAGTAATTTTTCCAGCTATTGAAATATCTCGGGCCGTATTTTTCACCGAATTTTCTTGTCATAAAAGGGAATCTCGCGTTTCGATCGCGATGACGATCAATTAACCGATTGAAAGCGCAAGAACCGAGAGGAGAATCGTCCGAGTGCACCTTCTCTGAAGTTACAGCTGGTTAACCCTATCAACGCCCGAATGTTGGACGTTAACCAATGCTACTTCGAAACCTGACAGACTGACACGGTCCATCAAGCTGACTCTCTGACCGTTGGGTGTAAATCGGTGGTCCTTCTGAAGCCAGTCGGCCGACCAACTGGGTTATCGATCCACCAGCAAGGCTTATCTCGTATCCTCTGCCGATCTTCATCCCTGGATCTCGGGCCTAAACGATTCTACCTCCTTCTCGATCGATTGCGTTCGTTAACAGTTATTGGTCGAGCCAACATTACACGAGGCAAATTCGTTAAACGTTGACGGATCAGCCGAGAAATCCCTTTCCCGGAAATTAACTGCGTTTAAGCAACGATTTCCGTTCTTTCGAAACTCGTGAGGGTCAAAGGATAAAAGTTTCGGTGATGGAAGGTGGAGAAAGCAGTCCCGAATTAAAGCTACCGAAAGATTCCCTAAAGGCGAACGAACCCAATGTCCAACGTATACGACACGGATCTTGTTGTCCTACGATTTCTTCCCGGGAAGATAAAACGAAAGAAACTGGTCGCGTTACGGTAGTCGATTCAACTGGGAACGAAGATTTGTCGGAAGAAAAGGGAAAAAGTAGGGACGGAGAAACTGACAAGGGCCCGGGGAATCTCGTTTGCGATAAGAAAAGCAAACGGAAAAAATTAGCTGGAAACGAGTTAGCGGTAGAAAGAACGGCAAAATCTCTTTGCGAAATTCTATTATAACCACCCTCGAACAACCTTGCTTTCCGCTCTAACGATGATCGAGCGTTATTGTCAAAGTTGAATCGATTAAAGCACGGCTGCGTTGCAGCTGTCTTCTGAAAAGCTCTGCTTCCATCTGTTGAATATGAAGCGTCTACTTTTCAGACGTAACTTTACCAACGAATGTCGTTTCTTAATCCAAACAAACTTGACTGTAAGAATCTTCGTGGTAAGATGAGCGCGTCAAAAACGGGGACGAAAGGGAGAAAAAAAAAAAGAAAAGAGCGGTCGAAATGTTCTCAACGACGAGATAGAATAAACTCTGGCAAGAGGGTGAATTTGCCGAGAAGGACAAGGGAATCGAGTGTACCGTTACAAACGAGGAAGAAGCTTTTAAAGAAACTAGCAAAGGAACTCGACCGCTGCGAGTTTCGAAAGAAAAAGATGAGAAAGGGCTACGAAAAAGTGAGCTGAATTATTAAAGAAGCTATTAAAAACGCGAGGTAACCGGGCAAAGGAGACTGGCGGAATAGTGAAAGAAAGTAGAGTCGGAAAACAGCTAATTGGTCAGATAGGGAGGCACCACTTACACGCGAAAAAAAAGTTGGAAAATTTCAGACGAAAGCTAACGAAAAATCATTCGAGCATTTCCCGTTCCACCATTACCTCCCTGGATCGTTTGTTAATTACCTCTTTGCGTAATTAACTCTGTAACAGTAGCTAATTACCTGCGCTCCGTTTGACCATCCCGACCGCAAGAACTTACACGTCAGGTCTGTATTCGGTAACGTGTCGGTGCACTAAATTAACGCAGGTGCAAATGATAAGAAACACCTTCCACGTGTTTCTGTTATTAGTCATCGGGTTAATAAGTATTCGATACTATTTTCGAAGATCTTCCAACTTGGCAAACACAGTTTCGAATCGGTCGATGAGATGCGGGCTGAAGATACACGTTAACTTAGCGAGTAGGCGATATGTTTAATTTGCTAATGCTTCTTTCCTGCAACGTTTCGAATATTTGGCAACTGCTGTTAATTACTTCGCGCAGAGGTGGCAAACGAAACTCTGACGCGAACTCGACTAACCTTCGACTCTGTGTCGAAAATGGTGATATCCTTAATACAAATCGGTGCACTGCGCACGAAGAGAAAAATGATAATACACAGGCTTAACGAGATGATCCAAGACACGTTACCGTTTGAAACAAGTGTCTTCTGGAAGGAACGATGTCATCCGTAGTAAGGGGAGCGTTATCGGCAGCTGGTGCTATTGTAATTGGGCACTTAAGGTTTAGAGGTTCCAGACACTTAACTTTACGATCATCCAAAGTTCATCGACTCGAGTGTTCCGGTCAAGTACGATCTTCGAGCAAACTGATCTGAAACTTCTATCCCTTCTCGTCCTCTTTCTTCTTACTCTCCTCTTCAACTACTTACGACTTGCGCCCTTCGAGAAGGGTCCACCCCCCCTCCACCCCACCAGACGTTTCTCGCTGAACTTTATTCTCGATTATTAACCAGGCAAAATAACGAGTCGATCGTTACGAAAGTAAATTCTCTTGCTCGTTTCAATCTCGATCGTTTTCTAATAATTACTCCTTGCAGAGATTACAAAGTTGTGTCTCGAAGCTGGTTACGCTTATCGATCGGATTTCCCGAGTTTTGCATGAAACATCAGCGTTAGCAAATGAGTATAGCCGAACTAACTTGTTAGCAACGGCACTGGCAGAATTTGATCGTAGTAAGTAGTATTACTCGATAACTGGTCAGACAGAGCCGGTCGCAATCTACCGAGCACTTAGCTTTAATGAAAGAACTTCGTTAGAGTGTTCGCCGGGAAAAAAAGCTGTAAAATATCCTGAAAACGAGTTTCTTAATACCTTCGATGTATAGCGTGTCGTAGGATCGTGTGAAAGTTATGAAAAAAAAAAAGGTAAAGTTCAAGTTATTTTTACCTTGCCATATTTTCTCCCTCTTTTCCTACTCTTTTCATTTTTAACGAAAATCCACGCGCGTGGTTTATCTAAACTTTCTCTGGTTTGCACAGGTAATATAAAACACGTTTTCTAAAGCTTGCCGCGAGCAAATGGAATACGTAACGTAGATTCGCAAAGTAGGAGAAACGATCCGTTTCCTTCGATTTAAAGGAACGTTAATCAAATTGCGAGAAAAATATCGTCGGAAGAAATTTCTTAGCGAATTAAACTTACCCTGAGAATTTATCGGCGATCGACGACATTCCGATGAATATCAAGCACGACAGGAAGAAATAACGTTGAACGAGAGGAGCAACATTTTTATTTACCCGTTTACCGCAAAACTAATCTGAAAATTGATGCCGTTCGACCTACTTTCAAAATTACCTTCGCTTCTGGAATTCTCTTCTTTATTATTTCACCCGGTTTCGTTGACCTTCGCGTCACCGTTATCAGCTTCTGACAACATTTCCCAGCTCGCGTACAGCGTCTCGCGAATTTTTTTCCTCCCTCAATAAATAAGAAGAGCGCTGGTTCCGCACCAACGCCGAAACGTCGAGAACTTTTGATTGCTTCTTCGCAAAATATTTGTTCGATATTTCGATCTCAAACAAAAGAAGGGAGCGAGAATGTGGGAAACGACTTTCTTTCTTCCATAAGAAACCATTTTTGTACAAACAATATAGACCGCCGCGAGTTGTTTAGCTTACAGTGGAAATGTTAGCTCTGTCAGAGTTCGATTCTCCCACTCTGAAACCAGTTGCTTCGTACTGGAATTAGTATACCAACTTCCGACTAAGTAGACGAGGAGGCAAAGTATGAATAGGAATGGTGAACTATGGTAAACGAGTCCGTGCGACTGGTTCGCTCCTGTTAGCGTTTAATTACCAACTAGCGATTCTCGTTTGTCGTTTATAAAAGAATAGCGATTTAGATCGAACGAAAAACACGTGTGTTGGTTTTCGTCACTCGATTAACTCTCGTCGAATTGTCCTGTGTAATTTAACGATAACGATCTATTTCGCGACAGAAGAATTGCACGAATGTGGAAATCACGGTTTTCTGTTGCAGGTTCAGCGGGTGGACGTCATCGGTCGTTTGGTGGATCGCGTCCGGTCAATGGGAGACAACAACCACCGTCGAGAGCCGAAGCGAGAACGATGAATGTCACGAGATAGTAGATCGATGAAACGTTGTTTGTTACGCTTTTCAAAGTTTAAGCAACCTTCGTTGTTGTTCCGTTCGACGCGTTGTATTTCGATATTTCCGTTTTGTTGGTAACGCGTTTGTCCGCGGCGTTCTTTCCTTTTTAAGGATCGCCGGTAAACTGGAATTGAACAAAGTCTCGTCGAGGAGTCGTTTCCGTCGGTTGCAGCCGAGAGACAAGTTTGCAGATAGAATGGAAAGGAAGTTGCGATCGGACGAGTTCGAACCGACGAAGAAACGCGAGCGTATGAAATACGTGGACGGTGCTGGTCGAACGATATTCCTCGGGAAACGATAAGCCAATTGAAAGGAGAAAAGAAGAAACCCTGGCGAAAGGATAACGAGATGAAGAATAAAAGATGTTGCAGACGCGACGACGTGGACGCGGTTGAAACCCTAACATCGATCGATTAGAATGAAATCGTGCGAGTACGCGTCAATCGCACGTGCACGTTGGAAAAATCGAGCCAAGGGAAACGGTTACTGTTGTTGTTGCTGCTGTTGTTATTGTTGTTGTTAACGAGAGGAGGGAAGTGACAGGAACCCGTACAGCCGATTCGACGCAGTCAATTAAAGCTCGACTCTATTAAATTTAAGCATCGACAAGCGGAACGCGTTCGATCGCACCACTCGCACAATGAGATAATAGGAGAACCGGTGGCAAGATTACCGCGAGCGAGTAGTAATCGAAAGGGTGCCCGGCCGGTATAATAAAGCCAATTAAAAGTGTCAATCGATAATCGATAGATCGTCGCCGCTTTCACGATAGTGGTTCGGAAAGTAAAAGAAAGAGGAAGAGGATGGCTACGAATCCAAGAAGACGTCGACAGCGATGCTGGCGTGGTCTGTTCGCGACCGCATACCTCTGCGCTTTCCTCCTCTGGCTGAACGGAATTTTCAGCTGCGCCGCTCAAAAACCGATCAATCTAGGCGGCGTGAAGAGGCGAGACGTTTACATCGCCGGATTCTTCCCGTACGGTAGCCACGTGCCCGAGAGCCACATAGGTCGAGGCGTAATGCCCTCGGTGAAGCTCGCCGTCGATCACATCAACGAGGACACCACCGTACTGAGAAACTATCGGCTGCACATGTGGTGGAACGATACAGAGGTGAGTACTTTTCTTTTATACATTTCTCGAACCTCGTCGAAGAATCGAACGAGCACCAGCTGTTTCCCTCGATGACCTCTTGGAAAATTGATCATCCTCGAGGGTCGTTGTTTGCGATATTATCCTTGGAATCGCATCGATTGCTTAATTATCAAGATGGATCGGAGGAGGTAAAAAATTGAAAGGCGGCAATTTGTAGTTTACGGATGAGAAAGGTCGCGTGTAAAAAAAAGGGGTAAGAGTAAAAAGGGACCGAGGTATTCGGGTCTAATTTACGAGGGTGCGTATTTTATTCCATTTTGCGGTTTTAACTTATTTTTGTTACGCGAGACAGAGCGGAGGCAGTGCGCCGGGTCGCGCCTCTGCCAGTAGTAAGAGTAGCGGCAGTAGTAGAGATCGGAGATAAGTCAGACGCGTGGGGGAAAAATGAGCGTAGAATCGTTTCGTCGCGTTTGATTTTCGACGAACAATTTCCCTCTAATAACTCCATCAATCTGCCAGTTGAATTGATACCGTTCAAATTGACCTCGGAACGTAACCTTACTCGTTTAATTTATTTTTGTTTTACATATTCATCAGATTCGTTCGCGGTGCACCGAGCATTACCGGAAAACGTATTATGCATGAATTCTCTGTAAAATCAATTTATTCGTTATCGTGCTGGCCGCGACCGGTTTACACGTTGCATGCAAAAATATCAGCTCGAATAACGGTCGCAATTTATTCTCCGTGTGTTTCACCTAGACCGCGCGATACCATCAACCGTGAAAAGTGACAGTCAAAATTACGCAAACATTATAAATCTCGCTGTTCTCGCTTCGAGGATGAAATTTGCCGAAGGGAAATTTCGAAGGGAACGTTCTTTTACGTACGAGGTTTTCATTTAACGCGTATCAAGAACAGCTGCTCGTAACTTTACGTTTCTTCGAACGTGAAACCACAGTGAACGCTGCACCGATGGACATATTCGGTTATATAAAACGGTGTCGTTTGCATACCCTCCTGAAAATGTAATCCACCGCGAAACGATTGCGAACGCTTCGTTCGTTTCTATCATCATCTCCATTAGCGCGAAAAGAAACGCGTAACCACGGCAATTCTAATACGATTTGTCTATCGACCCGATAATTTATCCACCACCTGGGAAGAAACGATCTTCCGATTGGTAGAAGTGTCGAAATTGGCACCGCGTATCGAAGATCCGTACCAATGGAAATGCGGTTTGGCTTCTTCGATTGAAAGGTCGACGTGGCTCCGTTCTTAATATTCTACCGAGGCCAATACTCGGTTACGATGGTGGCAATCAATTTTTTAAATTTCATCCCCCTCGCTCGACGTATCGAAAACGTCCATGCGAACTAAACGTGACACTTGGCTTTTTAAGGATATGGGTCAGTAGGTCTCGAAGAACTGTGCTTCATAAAATAGTAGCAAAAGTAAGGGTGGCAGGGGAGGAAAATAACGTTTCATTTCGAACGAAAATATCGTTCCACTGTTTTTATTCGATCCGTTCTGTAATCGAACAGGATGACCGTAACGAAATTTTTGAATAAATTTCAGAAAGAAGTGGAACATTCTTCCCTCTGACTGATATAAATGGCACAAATAGCGTACTTCTCTGGCGAATATAATGCACGACTGAAATCAAATGAAACAACAGAATTTCTTTGAAACGTTACCTCTCAAGCACGGAAACATCCGTTGTCTTTCATCCGAGAGGTTTGGAACGGGGAACGAAATACTCTCGTTCGAACTGTTAACTTTGAGTGGTAAATATTAACAGGTCGCGTCTGAACGAAGCTTCTCGTGGAAGAGTTTAAGCGATTTCGGATAAAAGGGAGCTCGAGTGTTCCGATCGTTTATTGCTTTTTAAAGGGAAATTATAGGTTGGAGAAGAGGAAAATTGTACGGGTTCGGCCACGAAAGGCCCGAGTCGATAAACTTTCGCCGTCTCTGCTTGAAAATAATCGACGCTTTCCGGATAATGATGTTAATCGATATAAAAAAAGGAAGAGCACTTAACGCTTCGTGCCTCGTCGAGAGTTTACCGTGTCGTTTAAGTCCGTCGACGTTGTTTTCTCCGATATAATTCGTTAATCCCGAATTTCTCAAAACCTTTTCCACTCTCGAAACTCCCTCCACGCGATCGAACTCTGTTTCAATTTCAGCCTCGACGCGTTTTTAGCCTTGTCGTATAAATCGCACGACGACACGTTAATTAACCCGAGATTTTCGCTGCCCGTTTATTTTTCCAGCGGACAAACCGAGACGGTTGCTTCTCCACGAACCCTGGAAAGAGTCTATAGAAAACGTTCTATAAATCAGTTTCAGCGAATCCAACGATTTGCAAATTGTACGAGAAGAAAAACACGAAACTTGCTTCTTTCCTGTTTGCAAGACGAAACGGGGGAGGAAAAAGCCGGGACCGATTCGCCTCGAAAGTTTCATCCGTTTCGATTCGTTCCGCTCATTTTTGCACCGATCTCTTCAACGAGGAAAAAGTGTAATTTCGTCGTTATCGTTTCGTTCGTGGTTCCATTTATTTCGATCTCGTTCCCTTTGCACCGACGATCCTTCGACTGTCGGTCAAAGATGAGCTATTCGACCAAAGAAAACCCGATTCACCGCGAATCGCTAACGAGACGATGTTTCCCGCAACATTTTTATCGTTTTTTAAAATCGTTCAGAACTTTGTCGCGTTTGGGAAATTGATCGAATAAATGCTGCCGCGAAGAAAAAGTATCGAAATGCATCGTTCGCGTTCTTCCGTAATATCGTCGTTAAAACCGCGTGAAAGGAACGCTTCAGAGAAAGAGGTGGACTATAAATAACTCGTCTCGTATCTGAAATCAATGGCTTTACACTAAAACATAGTTGAACGTAATTGAAATAATACTTGATCCAGATTATTACTTGTTATCGATCGTTCGAGGTTCCGAAGAGGGGAACGAAAGAAGAATCTCCTCCGTTTATTCAATAAATTCCATCGGGTGTACATGGAACGGAACATCGGGGATATTTCAAAAATCGTATTCGCCTTGGTCGTAAATAGACATTTACGGATTGAAACGTTGAACGAGATAGATTATTGTACGGGATGAATCAGCGGTTTCCGAGAAACCGCGTTTCCTGTTTGATCGAAGATAAGAAGGTAAAAGAATGGTTCGTTCTCGTAAAGGCTGATTCCCTCGGAGATACGAGAATTCTATTTGCGATCGATTTTTCTCGAAATTGTTTACATCATCCCTCCGTTATTTATCACCGATTTAATTGCTCTCTCAAACGTATTCCCTCGTTCAAACGATTTCTCTGTTACAAGGATGAACAAGAAACCGTATCGAAGATTTTTACAACGTTTCACATTTCCAATATCACCCCGTTTCGAAACGTTGAATACGTAAACGAACGATAGGATGGTTTGCGAGCAATAAACAAATTTATTACGTAGATCGAACGTACCGATACGTTCCGGGACATTAAATTTAATATTTTAAAGCGATATCAATGATTTTAAACGATTACCCAGCCGTGGAGGCGAACGAACCGGGCGGATAGTCAGAGAGAAAACGGCATGGAAAAGGGAAAATGGATTTCAATTATCGGCAGGGTATTACGTTTGTTTTTGGTAACGTGGAAAATCAACGGTGACCTGGCCAGGCCGGGAAATTTATATCACGATCCAGTTTTACGGCAGAGACGTACGGTCGAACGGGAAAAGTCAAACGTTATCGAATGGCGGCTAACTTTTCGAGTGGAAGAGGTAAATGAATCGCGTCTCGTTCGCTGAGCGTTCGTGCATAAACACCGTGTCTAATTTTCAATTTATCCACGAGATTCGAACGATTTTCACCCGTCGCATCGTTCGAGCTAGCTTTCCATCCAAGTAGAAATTCAGCATTTAAATAATTCTTTTTTATATGATTTTTGATCGAGAACCTTGGCGACCCTTCTCCTACAATTGGATCAACAAAAGGAAATTCGTGGAACGCTGCAAGTTTGACGCGAAACCGATATTCCATTAAGGTGAAATACCTCGAAGCTTTCGCACCGCGAACTGCGAGATCGATTTGGCTGGACGGTAATAGTAGTTTGCCCCACGTGGTGCATTGAAAAACGTTTTCCCGTATTCGGCTATTCTAAACCCTATTACCTTTGCGCTCCATTAATTTCCGAGAAAATTGAAGAGAATTACGTCGGGAACACTGTTAAAGTTGTACCGTTGCGTTACACACGGGAGCGTGGCGAGAACGTTTAAAAATTTCACCATTCCGTTCAGCCAGAAAACTTGACCCCATTGTTTCTTACAATTTTTGTCCGTTCTACGTGGACCGCATTCGCGATCGAGAGAAAAGTATTTCCACACGATTCGATCGAGAATTCATTTTCACGTAGCCAACGATCTGCCCTCGACGCGACGGCAAGAAGCTTTTATTAAATTCGACGAAAGCCGCAGAAATTCTTAGCGCCGGCCGAACTTGAAACTATTCGGGCCTGTTGGAAAATAAAAGCGGGATGGAATTTTCGGGGCAAACGCGAATGGCGTGGAGTCTAACCGTTTTACTTTTAGGAAGAGCAAACTTTGCGAAGGGTGGAAACGTTTGCGAATGCATAGCATCGTGACGAATCGCGGTCGGAAGCAAAGGTGGCGGCGAAGAGGAACGCAAGTTGGCTCGTGTGTCAGAAAGTTCGAAGACGTATCGCGAAGGACGGAGCGTAAAAACGCGAAGGAAACGGAGGGAAGATCGGTCCGAAAATGTTTCGGGGATGGATAGGAAGCAGAACGCGGCGAGGGTGATACGCGACGTGGAAGAAAAGGGGATCCCGGACGGTGCGAGGCGTGATCGATCCGCAGATAATCGCGACCCACAGCTTCGCCGACCAATAATAGCGGTGCGCCTATCGGAGAAGCTCGCCGAGCACCCTTGCCGATAACTTGTACCTTGGTTTCGCGAAACGGACCGAAATTCCCAAAGAGTTCACTTCACTTTTCACAGTTAATT